GGGTCCGGTCGTGGGGCCTGAACTCTGGGCCTGGGCGCTGTCCCTCAGCTCTACAGCTCAAGGCTAGCACTCTACCACTTGAGCCACAGCGCCACTTTCCGGCTTTTTTCTTTTTTTGCTTATGTGGTGCTGAGGAATCGAACCCAGGGCCTCAGGTATGCAAGGCAAGCGCTCTACCACTGAGCCACCTTCCCAGCCCCCACTACCAGTCTTTCTACAAGAGTCATGTAACAACTCCCATCCATGCTGTCATTCTGGTGATGGACAGGCACTTTTCAATGATGTCATTTACATCTTTGCTTCTTCACACTCATGTGTCAAACAGCAGCACCACAGAGGCTGCTTAGAAAAGATTCTACATGGTCAGGATAAACCAAATCCTGGAAGGCTTTAAGAAAGCTTTAGCCGGGCACCAGTGGCTCACACCTGTCACCCTAGCTACTTAGGAGGCTAAAATCTGAAGATCACAGTTCAAAGCCAGCCTAGGCAGGAAAGTCTGCAAGACTCATCTCCAATTAACCAGCAAAAAGCTATAAATGAAGCTGTGGCTTAAGTGGTAAAGCACTAGTCTTGAGCAAAAAAAGCTCAGGGACAGCATGCCCAGGCCCCAAGTTCAAGCCCAGGACCTAGAAACACACCCACCCACCCACCCACTCACACAAGAAAAACATTGCTTTATTGCATTACAAACGAAACACACAAAGTAAACGTGTTTTAGATCACTGTTAATGACCTAACAACCAGAGGCTTACTTGATTAATATACAAACAAATGTGCATTCCTTAGGAACTTAAACTTTGATCTTTTTCTTTTTTGCCAGTCCTAGGGCTTGGACTCAGGGCCTGGGCACTGTCTCTCAGCTTCTTTTAATCAAGGCTAGCACTATACCACTTGAGCCACAGTGCCACTTTCTGGCTTTTTCTGTTTATGTGGTACTGAGGAATTGAACCTAGGGCTTCATGCATGCTAGGCAAGCACTCTACCACTAAGCCACATTCCCAGACCAAACTTTCATCCTTTAAATCTTGTTCATCAGGGCTGGGAAGGTGGCTCAGTGGTAGAGAGCTTGCCTTACATGCCTGAGGCCCTGGGTTCGATTCTTCAGCACCACATAAGCAAAAAGAAAAAAGTCGGAAGTGGCGCTGTGGCTCAAGTGGTAGAGCGCTAGCCTTGAGCTGAAGAGCTGAGGGACAGCGCCCAGGCCCATCAGGCCCCACAACCGGACCCAAAAAAAAAAAAAAATCTTGTTCATCACTAATTTTCTTAGCAAAATGAAGTACTTTAACTAAATAAAAAGGAGACAACTTTGGCCTAGGCAAATTTAGTACCAGCTCTAAACTAGTCAAACTGCTGATGGTGGAACTGTTGGCTTTAAAAGATAAAAGGAATCTGTTTTTTTAAATTTCATTTCATTTTGTGTTGGTATTGGGGCTTGAACTCAGAGCCTCTCATTCAGCTTTTACACATGGCTGATACTCTAACCACTTGAGTCTCACCTTCTCTTCTGGTATTTTGATTAATTGGAGATAAGAGTCTCACAGACATTTCTGCTGGGCTGTCTTCAACCCTTGATCCTCAGACCTCAGTCCCCTAATTAGCTGGGATTACAGGTGTAATCCACCAGCACCTGGCAGAGTGTCTAACTTAGTAACTGCTTTCGTCCTTCTCAACAATAGCAAATATAATATCTGAATATAAACTTCCTTTACTATGCAATCCTGATTCTTCATAGTGAGAATGGTCCTTTCTGCATAACTAGCCAGTGTCCAGGTTTGAGGCCTCCAGTCCTGTAACCATGCTCTCAGCAGGGAGCAGGTACCACAGGTATGGGCTGTGGGCACAGGTAGGGAGACAGCAGCCTAGCGGCACTGATATTAGCAGAGCACCGCTGAGGTCTAAATTACCCTGCATGAGGGTACCATGACCTTCTGGACCCCCTCACATGAGAGCTGGTTCAAATGGTCTAAATTGTCTCGACAAAATGTCTAGTTCAAAAGCACAATAAAAGAAACAGCCATAACAAATATGTGGGGCAGGAGGAACATATCTTTGGAAAGTCTGTGCCCTTCAAAACGTTCAGTATGCATGGCAGTTGATATGAATGGAATATATGAAAGTATTCAGTAACAATTTATATTGCAAGCTCCGCCCCCCAGTATACTGTGCTGTAAGAGCCCATGAAACACAGGTGACTACTATAACTAAAATATAAGCTACACTGTGGAGACTGAACTCTTGCCATAACTCATGTTTGCGGGGTGTGGCTCAAACCTGTAATTCCAGCTACTAGAATGTGGAGAGCAGGAGGATTACTGTTTGAAGCCTGCCCATGCAAACAAGGAGTCAATCTCAACCAATAAAAGCTGGGGGTGGTGTAGCTGGACTGTCATTCATGCTGTGAGGGAATAGTAAATAAGAGGATGGTGCTGCAGACTGACCTGGGCAAAATTTGAGACCCTATTAAAAAAAACAACAACAACAACAAAAAGCATGAAGAGGGAAGTGGCTGAAGTGATATGGCGCCATCTCCTGGTGAGGGGGATCTGTCAGGCCCTGAGTTCACACTTAGGTGTCAAACCTCTAGATTAGGACATGACAGGGAAAGGTCACTTGTTGTGTTTCTTGGGCCAACTTTAAAAACATGCTTATGTAGTTGTCACTAGTTAGTTTTCCCCAGATCTCCCCCATGTCCCCATCGTAGCCAGGCCAAGGACCCTGGGCTTGGAGGTCTAACTTCCGACATTTTCCCGCTCCTGAAGATCTACAACAGGGGACTCATTTTTCTGTCAGAGCACATCTGCAAAGTGGCATCAACATTTTCCCACTCTGAAATAAGATCTAGAGTAAGTGTAAGCTTTATCTGTTCAACAGCTAACTTTTTTGGGAGTGGGGTGGGGTGGGCGGTACTAAGGTTTGAACTTAGGGCCTTCTGTTTGCTCCACCACTGGAGCCAGGTCCCTCTCAGATCACTTTTGTTACCTGCCAGGGCAGGGCCTGCACACTCCCATCCTGACCTCCCCCATGCACCACCAGGCCAGAAACTTCTGTTGAGATGGGGGTCTCACCAACTTTTTGCCTGGCCTGGCCTTAAACTGTGATTCTCCCAACCTGACTTGCCAGTACAGCACCGGGTTCCAGGCCCTAACACTGGTGAGGCCTTTCTGGTTAGTGACAGAACACATGGTCACAGGCTCTAGGTCGGATATCTGTAACAAGCACTAAGATCCCTTTGTCTGAAAGTTCAACTTTGCTCCTAACGCTCCACTGCAAGGAAGTGGTTGAGCTACGGGGAAGGTTGTGTGTCCCTGAGCAGGGTTCTGTCTCAGCCCTGTTTCTCCTCACCACATATCTCTGAAGAATTCCATCTGCACACACACCGACTCCACCTTCACCTCGGACCCAGGCATATTGGTTTGTTTTTTTTTTTTTTTTGGTTGGTCGTGGGGCCTGAACTCTGGGCCTGGGCGCTGTCCTTCAGCTCTTTAGCTCAAAGCGAGTGCTCTACCACTTGAGCTACAAAGCCACTTCCGGTTTCCTGGTGGTTTATTGGAGATAGGAGTCTCACGGTCTCTCCTGCCCGGGCTGGCTTTGAACCAAGATCCTCAGCCTCCTGAGTAGCTAGGATTACAGGCGTGAGCCACCAGCGCCCGGCCCCAGGCATATTGTTAGCTAGGATTTCAGATACAGGCACCAAATCAACCCATCAGTCCCAGATGCCCCACACTCCTTGTGTGTCTGCCCCTCAGTCTTCACACGTCTCCAAACCCTTACACCCTCTGACTGCCACCAGTGAGTGTGGGCCTCACACAAGAGGTTCCAATGGGAACAGTGAGAGGCGGCTTCAGGTACCACCTGGAATAGCCTAGACTCAGCAGATGTGTCCACTGGTCCATTTCTCAACTCCAGCAGAGCCACAGATATCAGTGAAAAAATAAAACTGAACTTTTGAATGAAGTTGTGGGGTCTGAGGCTTCTGGAGAGCCCTCCCGGGAATGGCTGACATCACTCACTTTGTTTGACATCTGGGGACAGTGCTGCTCGGTCGTGTGGATCAGAGTTTGGTCCAAATCCACCATGAGTACTAGTTTTCTATTTCGATGCAATCGTTGCTGATCTTCTCTTCCCAGCTCTTCAGCTTGCTAAGGTTAGAGAGTAGAAAAGAAAAATAACAAAGTATGTAGTTTGGATCCAAACTAAAATAAAGACTAAGATAAACCAAAGATGTCACACATACATTCTGAACCAAGACCACCACGTGTGCAGCCCTGCGGCGGCTGACAGCACACAACGGAAATCTACAGCTGGCTTTGCACCCCAGTCAGTCCACACCCTGCTGACACCTGTGACATAGTAAGCAAGGGTCAGCTTGCTTACAGGTCCAAACCTGTTCAGGGCAGGCAGTCTGACTTGTGATAATTCTGTGATTTGTTTAACTATGCACTAATGAAAAGGAGGAAAAGTGGTTGAGTATATAAAATTTCAGCTGAATAATATGGAGGCCTCCCAAAATGCTGAAAAGCTAATCAAGAAAACAAGTTAGTCCAAAAGCTTTTGGACAACTGCAAACCACCTCCTAAGGGCAAGGCAAGGCGCCAGGACAGTCAGCTCAGAGTCCTCTAGGCAGGCAGCCTCTACACTGCCACTCACCTTGCAGAGTACAGCGAACCTTGGAGGTACCCCACAGCATCCCCGGCTCCGTCCTGAGAAGGAGCGCCTGCCCAACCCCCGCCAGAGGCCACAGTGGCCTGTGAAGTAAAGCACTCGAGAGTGTGCTCATGTTTTTCTTCTCACATCAACTGTCATTTACTTATTCATCTTCAAACTTCTGTTCTGATTGTGTTAGATAGAACTCTGTTACATTCACTCAGGAGTGTGTAGAAAAGCCAGTGGTGTTGTTATGACAGGGAAAATGGGGGAATTTTCTTTTCTTTCTAATCTCCAAACTTCCAGGTTTTATATACACACACAGAGACACACACAGAGACACACAGAGAGAGAGACACACACACACACACACATATGTACACACACACACCCTCTTAAAAGGTAATTTGGAAAAACCAGAATCATGGCATTCTATCCTATTAAAAAAAACAGACGGAAGTTGATAGATACATCATATAAAAACAAACCTAATACAATCCTAACAACGGAAAACATTCTACTGATTTACAAAAAAACCTACAACCTGGGGCTGAGAAGGTGGCTCAGTGGTACAGTGCTTGCCTTGCATGCATGAGGTCCTGGGGTTTGATTCCTCAGTACCACATAAGTAGAAAAAGCCAGAAGTGGTGCTGTGGCTCAAGGGGTAGAGTGCTAGCCTTGAGCTGAAGAGCTGAGGGACAGAGTCCGGGCCTAGAGTTCAGGCCCCACAACTGACAAAAACAAAACAACAACAACAAATAAACACAATCCTGAAACAGTCTTATAACTCAGACAAAATACTACTTATCATGCAACTCTGTTGCTGGTTGGTAAAGGATGGTTTTGGCTCTTTCTGGGCTGTCCCTCCCCAGCTGATCTGACCTATGCAAATCCCAGTTGTCAGGGTGAGTTTCAAACCGTGAGCTCTGAGTGCTGTTTCTCAGATGGTCCTCCCTCCTGGCCCTGCAGAGGGCCTGCTGCTCCCTCACTCTGGTGGTGACACTGCAGATGATGCTTAGGCCCCTCCCTCCCGGCCTCCAGCAGGCTGAGCCACTGCCTTCCCATGAGCACCCAGGACACTGGCAGCTCCCAGTCATTTCGAGAGCACCAGCACTCTCATCCCCTGTCAGTCCCCATCTTCAGCATGAGCCCCTGTCAGCCTGCCTGCTCTGCATATGGACTCTGGGGACCCGGCTCAGTTCACATCACTTCCAGGAGGGGCACTGTCACCATTCAATCCAGGAGCAGGAGGCAGATTTATGAAGGAAAAAGGAAAAGAGGAGCCAGTCTGGACTTCAAGTTTTCAGGGAGGCAGCACTCCACATGAATTGCCCTCAGACCAGAGTTGTTTCTAGGCAGGAACAATGGTAGCCCCCTTACAGAGGCCAGTGTCCAGCTGCCTACTTACCTCAGAGCTCACCATGAGCTCCGGCACACTGTGGACCATGGACACTGTCGCTGTGGACAGAGGCATCTGTTGCTTTCCATTCTTACTCTGCAGCCTTTGAAAGCAGAAGAACATCTGGTTAACGTATACAGGAGGCATGCCTAATTCTGAGGACAGGCTTCCAGCTGGGCTGGACATAACACTTATGGCTAGCTTAGCACAGAATTCTCTCCTGTCGGGAGCCATAGAATGTTCTCCACAGAGCTGGGCGCTGGTGGTTCACTCCTGTAATCCTAACTCAGGAGACTGAGATCTGAGGATCACGATTCAAAGCCAGCCTGGGCAGGAAAGCCTGTGAGACTCCTATCTCCAGTAAACCACCAGAAAACTGGAAGTGGTGCTGTGGCTCAAATGATAGAGCACTTGCCTTGAGCTGAAGAGCGCAGGGACAGCGCCCAGGTCCAGAGTTCAAGACCCACAACGGGGTGGGGGGGGGAGGGAGAAGGGGGGGAATGTTCTGCACAGCCTGAAAACAGTCAGGACAGGTCAGCTCACTGAGCTCAGGTCATACACTTAACCTGAGTGTCAAATCCCTGACACCTTCACAGAGGGGGATGAGCACAAATCTCAGCCCTCTGCACTCTCCTGCCACACCTGAGCAGAGAATTCAGCGTTACAGCAGGCTTCCAGAAATGAAGGAATAAAAAGTGAACCTCTAGAGCTGGGGGGCCAATGGCTCATGCCTGTAATCCTAGCTATTTAGGAGGCTGAGATCTAAGGATCATGAGTCAAAGCCAGCCCAGGCAGGAACGTCCATGAGACTCTTATCTCCAATTAACTGCCAAGAAAAAAAAAAAAGCTGGACACGGTACAGCTCAGGGGCAGAGCCCAGGTCCCCTAGCCCCAGACCTGGCAAACACAAACGTGCACACACACACACACACACACGAACACTGGCCTGAGAAGTGACCAGGGGCTCAGGTCTGCTCTCTCAGCATAGGGCAGCTGCCTCTGGACTGCAGTACACCCTGCCAGAGCCGAAGGCAGTGCCTGCCTAGAGGTACTTACTGGGTTAGGTCTTGGCCGCACTCAGCACACAGGCCCTTCATGACAACAGGGTGGCTACATCCTTCCAGTCTCACCAGAAGTGCCCTAAAAGTAAGAGATGAAGGCAATTACAAAGGGGTGAACAGTTTAAACATCTTCTGGTGTGTTACAGTGTGAGAGGGCACCCAGCCTGGAACTGTGCCAGTTCTAGTTAATTCTGGCTCAGCTCTAGATATTTCCTCACAGCTCTTTGCTCACAGAAAACCAAACTTCTGCTTCATAGAAGAGTTGAAAAAATTAAAGATGTAACATAAAACAGCCTCAAAATACTTAAATTATACATGTGATGCTCTTGGACTTGTAGCAAAGAGTTTAATTTTTTTCTTGTGGAACTATTGTACTATTCCTAATTCCTAACATTCCTTGTTTTGAGACAAGGCCTTACAACATAGTCTGCCTCAGCCTCCCAAGTGCTACAACTACAGATCCACACCCAGTTTCCTACTTTCCTTCTTATAGCCCAACACTAGTCATCTGGAGGAGGCCTAGGAAGGAGGGTTACTGGGAATAATCACACAGCTGCAGAGTCAGGGAATACTGGCTTGTGTCCGAGTCCTGGTTCTACAGGCAGAGATCCCCTATGTACAGGAGAGCCTATCAGGGCTATGTTCCCCATGGCAGGTTAACACAAAGCCTCCAGAAACGTGGTGTGTTCCATTGGCCAGGGCTGTCCCTGCCCTGCTCTGCACACTCCAGTGCTCTGCTTCACACATGTAGTCTACCTCTGGTAAAGACTTCCCCAAGACCTGACCTATCACACTGCAGCCACTGTTAGAGGGTAAGACTCACAAAATACTCGGAAGAGAGTAGAACAAAAGGTGGCATGGTGGGAACAAGGCAGAGCCCTTCTCCCCCACACCAACAGAACAGAAGAAAAAGGGCCAAGAAGCACAGCCCCCCATCTGGCCACCCTGTGAATAAGGTCTGGAGAGGAATACACATCAATTGTGCAAATGTGCCAAACGGATGCGACAGCAATTCAATGAAGAAAGAACACCTTTCCCACGAGTGAGAGGGTATAGTCAAGGGAGACACTAAAGGCCTATGACGCAAACCTTTCCTGAAAAATCACTGGATTATAGAATGGATTTTTATGTAAAAGTATGTACTTAAAAAGATAAAAAGGACAATACCTTTGGGATCTTGGCCTAGGTAGAATTCTTACACTACACACTAAAAACCCGATCTTTCAAGGATGAAGCTGATAAATTGTACTGCATCTGAATCAAAAATTTGCTCTGGAAAGTTTGCAAGGATGAAGATAAGCCAGACTGGGAGATCTGTGCAAACCACAGTTCCAACAAAGAACTGGTATGTGGTATGAAGAATGACTGCAAGTTACAGTATGTTCACAAATAAAATAAAATTAAAAAACTATGAAAAAAAAAAAGAATGACTGCAAGCAACAGGTCAGCCCAAGCAATCCAATTAGGACATGAGTGTTAAATGAGCAGATGCATCAACACGGAAGCACACGGAAGTGCTTACCAACGCTGGTCACCAAGACAGGCACCCAGACGGCCAGGTGCTGTGGTGCGCGTGAGCTCACCTTCAATGCCAAGTGGGATGCTGAATGGCTCAGCTGCTAGGAAAGATCTGTCGGATCCAACTCCTTAGTGATCTGTAGATTCAGAGCCCCACTGAAGGCTCCTTCTGTACTGGTAAGAAGAGAGGTCTGGACAGGCAGAGCAGCACTGGCACCAAGCGTCCTTCCCAAGGCTGTCAATCTACCGTAGCCTGCGTGAACGCCGCTCTGTACTGGGGCACACGCCAGCAGCACATGCAAAATCAGAGAGCCATCACACACACTCAAAGTCCACATTGCTAGCCTAGGTCTCCTGCCTTTCCATATGAACTTCAGGATCTGCAAACACACCTGCTGAACTCTGCCTGAGGGTGGTCATCAGCATCTCCCAGGCTCCCACACAAGCCACCCTGGCCACATGTGTGCCACATGTGGGCTCCTCCAAACCTGCCAGCTTGTGCTGGGCTGGCACGAGGTCAGACTCACAGACTCACTTTACTCATGTAAAGTCCACCTGTGAGCATCCTCTGTCTGCCCCAGAGGGCAGGAGTAGAATCACGTGTGAGGTCTGCTTCAAGGACAAGACTACGTGGACACATGTAGTGAGCTAGCCAGGCCTTCACCAGAGCACAAGCCAGATACCAAGCTGTGGTCACACTTCCTCTCTACACATCCTGCTCCCTCTGGCAACGAACGCAGCTTCAGAAATTGGTACAACAGCTCATGTGCAAGGCTCACAGGCCACTTGAACGTGAGTCAAGTGGGAAACCAATGCAGAAGGGTTCTTCTGCATGTGAAGCAGCTCTGGGTCTTCACAACAAGGAGGAAGAAGGCTAGGGAAGAGATGAAAGCGGCAGAAGCAAGGCTGTGTGGCCAGAATGAAGTCCTGGTATGTGCAGCAAGCTGTCTGTCTTGAGCTTTCTGCAATGAGAACCTTCTGATATCTTTCCTAATGACTGTGTAAAAGCCAAAGATATTGCCCATCTTGTTCTATAGTATCTATAATCTTGCTTCCCTGGAACACATGACAGTGTCTGTAGACACTTCTGGATGTCACACAAGGGGAAGTCAAGGTGGCTGCTTAGCGTCCCACCAGCCACACTCTATCTGTAACGTAGTCACCAGGCCAGAATATCCCATATGCCCCGGCTGGAAACTGTCCCAAAACAGGAGAGGAAGATGGCATGCCAGTGTGTCAGCTGTCCCCGTGGATCGCCAGGTAACGCACCAGAGCACTCCTCCTATATTCTGGAGATAGCTGTCTCCTATGGTGACATCAGTCAGCCAGGAAATTGGGACTCTGCTGTGATGTTCTTGGGGAAGAGCCTGAGGATCACGTCCACGAGTGTTCCTCCAGAAGCAGGCCCCCTGCAGGGCCCTGTGTGCAGTGTTATTTAAGGAGCTCACAGAGCAGAACTCCTGGCCGCCCACATCACTCACCCAATTCCTGGATTCCCTATTCTCCTTGAAAAGGGTTACGGAGATACCTTCCACTTGTGAGGTTGAGAAGACAAAAATCTGTATTCATAAAACACTGAAATAGGTAAAAGTTACTTATTAAGTTTAAGCTCAACTTCAAGTGACCTCATGAAGCCGTGCCCCTATCACCTGGCTCCTTGAAGGACTCACCACAGAAAACTCCTAAATGCTCCTGATGTCCACACCCACACAAGACCCACATCTTCTTGGACCTAGGCAAGATGGTAGCACAGGATCAGCTAGTTTACTCAGAAAGAAGCAAGACAAAACACCATAATCCAATGAGTAGCCCACCAAACCTAAAGTCCAAACAAAATTTAGACAGATAAAATAAATAGAATCTGGATAGAGAAGTAAACCATGAACGTTGCAGTCTCCCGTCTCAGTAGAAATGGCGATTAAAAACGTAACACTCCTGGGTGTTATCAAATGCTTGTAATGGCAGCATTCAGGAGGCTGAAGCAGGAGGGTTCAGTTCAAGGGCAGCCTGGGATACACGAGATTCCCTCTCAAAATAACAGCATCTCCATCAACAGGGCAGGACAATTTCCCAGTCTAAGACTCAATACCAAGTTCTTGACAAGCCTCTGCGGAAGGTCAAGCAAAATCCACACGTTGCCCACGTTCACTCACCAAGCACCCTAAGTCCCGACATGTGGGGTTTCTGGAGCCTGGGGAGAAGCAGGAGAGTCCTGGCCTGGGCCGGCACCCAGAAACTCAAAGACAGGTACCACTCCATGACATAAGCTTGAAAAACCTCACAGATACAGCCCTGCCAACAACTGTGAAGAGGCAGGGGTCAAAGTTCAGTGAGGATGTAAGGTATTTACAAATTAACACTCTGTCAGGAACCTGGCAGGTGTGATCATCCAGAGCCACAGAAGTGGAGGTGGACTGAGTCACAAGCCTTCTGAAAGGATCTTGCTACTCTACGTCTGTCTGCTCACCTGCCCACCCAAGGAACACTGCCAATAAGGAGGAAAGGAAACATGGAAGAACTGACTCATGAACTACAACAGAAAGCAACCTGGGGGAGGGTTTGCTTTTGCTCAAGTGAAACCAGGGAAGTCTGCAGACCAGAAAATACATAGGTGTGGATGTTAATTCCAGATCTTGGTGACTGCACAATGGCACTATAAGCCAATAGTTTTGGTTTTGGAAAACTGATGTATAATGTCACTTTCTCTGAAGTGACATTGTGCTGTAATTTCATGTCAAACTCTTCAGACAAAAGTGATGTAAGGAAAGGTAAGACAAAGAAAGCAATGCTAAGACTAGGTTAGCTGGGTAAAGCTTATATAGGAATTTTTCATATTGTTCTTGCAACTTTTCTCTCAAAAGTAGTCTGAAACTACTTTTTGTCACCGTGACAAAATATCCTAGCAAGTCAACCTAAAGGGAGTTTTTGTTGTTTTGTCGGTCATGGGGCTTGAACTCTGGGCCTGGGCGCTGTCCCTCAGCTCTTCAGCTCAAGGCGAGCTCTACCACTTGAGCTACAGCGCCACTTGCAGTTTTCTGGTGGTTTATTGGAGATAAGAGTCTCACGGTCTTTCCTGCCCAGGCTGGCTTGGAACTGTGATCCTCAGATCTCAGCCTCCTGAGTAGCTAGGATTATAAGGCCTGAGCCACCAGCGCCTGGCAGGGAGTTGTTTTTTGGGGGGAGTCAGTCATGGTTGCTGAACCCTGGGCCTGAGCGCTATTCCTCAACTTGAGCCACAGTACCACTTCTGGCTTATGTGGTGCCGAGGAATCGAACCCAGGACCTCATGCATGTAAGGCAAACACTCTACCACTGAACCACCTTCCCAGCCCATCAAGGGACACTTCTGACTTACAGTTCTATGTTCCATGGTTGCGTGCCCCCTTGTGGGGTTCTGTGGTAAGGCAGAACATCAAGGCAGAAAGAAAGTACGGGAGATCAGGGTCTGGGTGAAGGTGCAGCTGGCATTATGTCTGGCCGCGCAGGTGACAGAAAGTCCCTGGAGTAGCCCAAGAAGCAGGCCAAGGAGATGGATGAAGAAGACAAGGTCTTCAAGCAGAAACAGAAAGAGGAGCAGAAGAAACTTGAATAACTGAAAGTGACGGCTGCGGGGAAGGGAGCCCCGGCCACAGGTAGAATTAAGAAGTCTGGCAAAAAGTAAGCTGTTCCTTGTTCCTGAGATGACGGTGAACCTGAATCCCATTCCCATTCAACATCTGGACTTCCTGTCCTAACACCTCTGCCACCTACAGGTAGAATGAAGTTTTGTCTAGGACTCTGAAGATGAAGAACCTTAAAAAAAAAAATCCTACAGTGGCTCAGTCTCTAGTTTGTCGGCCATTTCTACTTCAGCTGTAAATTTCAAGTAAACACAGCCTAGATTCCTGCTAGAGTCTGCTCTTTGTCCTATTCTTGCGTTTTGTATCATCTTGAAATTAAACCAACGCATTTGAAAAAGAAAATACGAGAGAAAGCACTGGAGCAGAGCTGCGGGCCTGGTGATGCCCCAGAAGCAGAGAAAGCAGTGACAAGAATGTGCACACCCTCCTCAGTGACTTCCTTCCTCCATCACTCCCCTTTCTAACAGCCAGATTAATCAGTCCAGATTAATCAACTAATTGTGGATTAATCTACTGAATTTAGCCCACTCATATGACCCAACCATTTCTCAATATATTGTACCACTAGCTGAGCACTGACTCAGTCCGCAACACTTAATTGTTTTTTGGAGGACGGGTCCTATCCAAATCCTAACAGTGGCCAAAAAACCTGAGGACAGTGTACTTGCCCTGAATGTACCTAACTACAGGTACAGAGCGCTTCAGGGAACTGCCCAACTTGCAGCCAGAGCTAGGCTCTCACAGTGCCAGCCCCTGCTCAGGAGGCACAGGACTAGGATCAAGCTGAATTTCCTAGAGAGGTCAGGCTCTGGCAGAGGCTGAACTGTAAAGAACAAAGTAAAACATCTGGAGAAACACAGATTCCAATTCCCAATAGACTCAGAGAAATCTACAGACGGAAAGCTCTAAAATCGAACACCTTCCTGTGAGCTGTCTTATGTTCCGCCGGCCCTACGGCCCTCTGCTACAGAAAGAGACCTATGAAGACACGGACCTCAGAATTTTAACCATCACTGTAAACACCTAGGCTTCACAAAGCTTTATCACTATGGCAAAGCTGCTACGTGCTACCGGTGGGAAACTCTTTTACTGCCTAGGGCCATACAAAAGTATCAATATGATAGAGACAGACAGGCCTCTGGAAACTGATGAAAAGCAAACATATCTGTTATGTACTAAATGACATCCAGGGCTTAAACAGCAGTGGGCTTAGTGTTCCTTGCCTCCGACAGGCAGAAGTATCTTTAAAGACTTTCAACAGATTCATGACACTTTAAATTTTGAATAATGGTAATTATTAAAATATAATCAATGTTGGTGTACTATTTTTAAATTCACACATACATAATCGATTCATTCATTCCTCCATACCAATGTTGGATGAATTCACTAACTCACTTTAAAACTAACTTGAAAGAATATAAGGGTACTGACGTAAGTCTGATAATGCACATACAACTCAAACCTATGTACCATTTTTAGGCAGACGTGCTTCAAAGACTATCTGGTTCAATGTCAATTCCCCCCCCCCCCTTCTGTTGTCTGTGCCAGTGCTGGGGCTGAACTGAGGGCCCCTGCTCTCATGACTTTCTAGCCTAAGGCTGGTACTCAACTACAGAGCCACACTTGGCAGTCTGGCTGTTAGCTGGTTAACTGGAGATAAGAGTCTTTTGGCTGGCCTCAAACTCTGATCTTCAGATTCAGCCTTCAAGAATCTTTTTATTTTGTGCTGGTCCTGGAGCTTGAACCAAGGGCCAGGGCACTGTCCCTGAGCTTCTTTCCACAAGGCTAATGCTCTACTACTTGAGCTCACAGCTCCACAGACTTTGCTGCCTGGGCTGGCTTCCATCCATGATTCTCAGATCTCAGACTCCTGAGTAGCCAGCATTACAGGTATGAGTCACTAGCACCCAGCTCAAAGTCCTTTTATTTAAGATTAAATTAGCAGCCTGATACAAATGGCTCAAGCCTATAATCCTAACTACACGAAAGGCTGAGATCTGAAAGATCACAATCGGTGAATATGTCCTGCTGAATACAGCAGTGGAAAGCCTGGAGTGGTGGTTCATGTCTGTAAAGGCTGGGGTAGGAAGATGTAGAGTACAAGGTCAGCCTGGTTGACGCGGTAAACTCAAGGCCAACTTGAGTTGTACTAATCAAGACCCTGTCTCAAAGCCGAACAACAACAACAGAAAACTCCATCAACTGAACTTAATGAGTTCAATTAAACAATAGGACAATTCTCTTAGTTCCAGATATGAATGTCTTTTTAACAGAGTAATCTTTTAAACAGTACAGATGTGAATAGGGAAGAATATAATCATTAACTAAGAGTCTACTAATTTACCAAGTCTTGATATTAGGATGAAAACAATTTCTTATTGCCAAAGCAAGACTTCTGTAGTTAATTATTTTAATGCACAGAGGAAATGTATTCAGAACTTTAAATGCCTCAATACCTAACTTTAGAACTTTGAACAAGGGAGCTACTCTTAGAATGTATTCCATTATGAGTGAGTTGTACAGTTTCTCTCATTTGGTTCATAAATCTACTGAATGATTTCCTTGCTTTCTTTTGGCAGACCTAGGGATTGAACTCAGGGTCTCATGCTACCAAGGCAGGTACCCTCACACTTGAGAGATGTTCCCAGTCCCTTTTTACCTTGGTTATTTTATAGTAGGGTCTCACTGACCTATTTGTGCTTCCCTGTGTCAGGGAGGACAGGCATCACCACAGCGCCCAGCCAACGTGCTTCCCTGTGTCAGGGAGGACAGGCATCACCACAGCGCCCAG